ATTGCAGAAGTATCGCACAAATCAGGAATTGTATTACTTCGGGAATGAAGAAAATGCTGAAGAGGTATGCATATCGAACACTCGCTCAGCAGCTGCACTCAAACTTCAATTGTTTGTTGGTACAGATCCTGGTATTGAGACCGCACATTCGCGTTTGATCGCACAAATATCCCCGAAGAAAACCACGACGTCCGTGCAGACGACCACTACAACTCCGTCATCTGCACTGCTCAGTTCTTCAGTTAATTTGAAATTAATGGCTACCTCAGTCTTCTCATCACTATTTCTAATGTGCTTATTCACATTAAGGGCACGATGACTCGACTCACTCCAATTTATCTAAAATTTATAGCTGTGTTTCACAAACTCAGTTCATCACTACAAACCACATAGAGAACGGACTGGGCGGGAGCACTAGACACCTTTCAGCCTATTGGAGTTTTAAGAGACTGCTTGCTCATAATCACTATTCCCAACAAAAAACATGAGTTGTCATTTAAAATCCGGAAATTGAACTAAGGAACATAATGCTTCGCAAATGAATGAATATTTTGCAAACCCTCAAAAATAACTAGGGAACACAAGAAACAAATGCACCCAGTCACGTTGGCGAGCGCAGTACTGATGGATAGGAAGATACCCTGAACATGGGACGAACTAAAATTCACTAGTTAAGTTATCAATTCACAGCATGTTTTTTTTGTTATAAAGCTTTTCAAGTACTCATTATAGTTGAATAATTTCTGATATTTCCGAAGTTTCTTCGAGTTATTTTGTTTCATTGTCTTCAGACGATTACGATCAACCATCTATGGATTCCTTGCTGTACACTTGTCTTGTCTATAACTATATATTGCTTATAATTAATATGAATGAACGAATGTATATCAATTACTTATGCAACATTATCCAATGTTCATAATTCTCACCACTAATTATACTGATATGATAATAGTAATATTAATGTTGAACGTAATAACAATTCTGCAGCACAAATAATACTAATACCAATGTCAAATGCATTCTTTCTTTTGATGCTTCTTCAACTATTTGTTCCGATAATACAATATCTTGCTGTCTACTGGTTTTCTCGTGCCTGGAAAACCATTCCACCAATCTAGTCTTTATACAATTAAAAATGTGGAAAATACTGACATTTATCGATGAAAAGAATCGAAGTGAATGAATGTCGTTCTCATTGATCTGAAATGAAATCGCCGTAAACTTCATCCTGAACAAAAGAAATTCATTGAATAAGTAAATAAAATCGTTGGCCTGTCCAATGAATGTACCTGTAAACATTGTATGCTGCTCATTTCGCATTATATTATTCCATTGCAAACATTATTTTGCTTTGAATTTTTTGAATCCATTGGGTCTTCTTTTATGTTCAAGTTCACTTTATAATTTGGATTTTTCATATTGTTCTTGTTTTTATCATATGAAACAGTTGAAAATGAATATTTTGACTTTTTGTTGATGAATAAAATTTGTTTCTTATTTTGTCCATCATTCATTTTTTTGTGCAAAATTATTCTGAAATAATGATGAAAATGAAAATCCGCTTTGCTCTGAACGTATCGATGAGTGAAAGGATGCAATTGAATTGCGGAATGCCAAGGAAATATGTACACTTTTGCGATCAAAACTGTTTACACCGATGCGTTCTCATTACAATTGAATTTCGC